CCCCTATCCCCGACGACACGCCCATGTGAGAGTAATGGGAGTAAACAAGTTAGAAACAAATGCTCGGTAATTACGCCTGACAAAGATTGCCAGCGACGGGGGCTCGTCAAAGTTGAAATTAATAAATCCGGTGGTCGGCGTATCAAGTCCACCTGTGGTAGTTGGACTTCCCCCAAATAAACGTCTTGATTTTGGGGGGACGTTTTTGAATTGGTGGCCATTGTTTTACCTGGTTGCATCATTCTCTACACTCTATGTAAAGAGGAGTCAACTAGTTGCATTATTATCTACAATCCATGTAGTGATGAGTCAACTAGAAGTGCTTTTATTACACCGCACCAAATTCGGGAAGGGGGGGGGGGGGTGCTCCTGCATGACGTTGATCGTCCGCGGGAACGTCCCGTGAGTACTGTATACCTGGTCTGCGTGGCGGGGTCGGCGACTCGCTTAGCCCACTCGGCAACGAAGCTGGACACGGACTTGATCCAGCGACGGCGGAAGGAGGCGTTCTCCAGCGAGGCGAAGATGCGCTCCGTCTGGAAGCGGCCCGTCTTGGGGTCCGTGAAGAGCTTGAGCAGCGCGTCGAGCCCGGAGGTGTGCCACAGGGTGCGGCCGAGGTCGGACTCGGAGAAGTGCTCCCACATGTCGTACAACTTGTCCAGGAAGGGGGGCAGCATGTTGGACTTGTGGCTGTGGACGTGGTGGCCGCGGTGCGCGTCCTGCTCGTTCTCGGGAATGACGTCGTCCTCGTGGTGGCTGTGGCCGGCCGCGCCCAGGCCTTGCATCAGGGCGGGCAGCACGCTCATGATCTGGTCCGCGGCGCCGCCCTGGGAGCCGACGAGGGACGACGCGGCGCCGAGGAGCGCACCCCAGTCGACAGCGCCGTCCTGGCCGCTGCGCTTCCCACCCACGTCGTTGTTGTTGACGTCAACGTCGTTGTCCTCGGCGTTGTCGTCGTCGCCGGACTTCGTGAAGATGTCCATCATGTGGCCAATGATGGCCGGGTCCAGGCCGCCGCCGCCGCCCTTGCCGCCGCCGATGAGCGAGCCCAGGCCGGACAGGATGTCGGCCGCGGGGCTGCCTCCCGCCCCCGCGCCGCCCCCGAGCAGCATGTCCCCGAGCTGGCGGCCGCCGTCAGACTGCATGAAGCTCTGCAGGAGCCCACCAACGGCCCCGAGGCCCTGGCCCGCGCCCGCGCCGCCCCCGCGGCTGTCCAGGGAGTCCTGCAGCATCTGGCGGGCCGCGTCCAGCAGCGGGCTGCCCTCCTCGGCGTCGTGCGCCGCGCACCCCGCGACCAGCGCGACCAGCACCACCACGTCGACACGCATCTTCACCGCGATAAGGACCGGCCACACGGTGTGCACGGCTCCGGAACGCAACACAAACTTCACACACCGGCAAGGGCCTCGCTATGACTGAACCGACTGAACGCACGGCGCGACGCGAGGTGGGCCTACGGCGGAGCGCGCCGGCGAGCTGGCGGAGCAGCCCCACCTGTAACGGGACTGCGGGCGGGGAGGGGCGGGAGGAGCAGGACGAGGAGCTGCGCCGTGGCAAGCCGGGAGGAGTCGGCGGG